CTACCGTGGGGGTCTTCAAGAGGAGGTTAGATATGCATCTGGCTGGGGTCATCTAGACCCAGCACTCTTTCCTGCCTATGCAGGGAGTCAGACTCGATGATCTATTGAGGTCCCTTCCGGCCCTAACATCTATGAATCTATGAAAGAGGGATAAGGCATGTAATTACTCATGGCAGTCAAAGGAGCACCACACAAGATAAGCAGGCAATAGAAGCACAAACAGAAAGCACTGAATTTCCTCTCAAACACATTCGCTAATATCCCAACACCTGTTTGACAAGCTGCAAGTTTGCGGCAGGGCTCCAGGGCCACAGGAAAGGTGAGAGGTCAGATGCAGCTTGCTCACACTTACTCACTTGTGCAAGGGGAAGTAACGAGCCCATCTCCAATCCTCTCTTCCTTGCTTTCAGGCCCTTCTCATTCCTGGGCTGCTGACATCCACAGGCTTAGAACCAGTCTTTAAAAATTAACGTCATCTAAGTACCAAGTAAAATTATCTAAAGTTTCTACTGGACAGCTTTATCTTTGAAAACACTCTTCACCATGACACATCAAAAACTCTAAAAGGTATCGTGGGTAGAAATATATAAAATAGAATATTACGCTACTTCCTAGGTCAGCTGTATGCCACAATATTTTCTTACTGCAGTAGCAGAAAGTTTCCAAGAGTAAAACTGAACTTTCCACTTGCAAGCAGTTTGCTCTGGTATCAATAATGCACTGACCAAAAGAAGTCTGTCTTTATTTTTGTTTTTTATTAAGTCCTATTTGGGACTCCATTCACTCTTCTGATTATAGTGTAGTCCACTCAAGAAAATGACATTGTGACATGGTTCTACATTAACCATCTCTCAATTCCAAAACAAAGCTACACCCTTTAAAAACTTAATTTTTTTTCTTCTAACTACCACCTGGAATACAAGGCTCCAGTTTGTTTGTTTGGGAGGTTTTGGTTGGGGGTTGCTTCATACTTTATCCTCAGTAAACAGACTAGATTAACCAAAATATTTATTATGCACACAATAGAATGAAATCTAGCTTGCTCTCTTAATTATAGATTGGCTTTGCAGAATAAAGAGTGAGAAGAATGCACCTTTATTTCTTGGCACTAAAGGAAGCAAAAATGAATATGAAATACATGCAAACAGTGGGTCTACTGAATCAGGTTATAACATTTTTATGTGGTCACGTCTCAAAAATAGGTAGTGTTTGAGCTGTTGTTCTAATGATTAAATCAGCTGACAGAGAACTTGCATTTGACACGTGAGATATAAAAGAAGAGGCAGGAGACCAATAAAAACTCACATGTCTGAAAGATGGAAGAGACGACAGGCAGAGTGGAAAGATAATTTTGTCAGGTGCCAGAGGTCCAGATGAAAAGTTATCAGATCACAGGCTAACATGAGTGCTATACAGGATAGCAAATTGAAGATGCGTCTTTTAAAAATGTGGGGCTAAAGAGTAGTCTTGTTATAAGTCCCTTCATCTGCTGTCTCTGACATTGGTACCATACCAGACAATGTCAACATTTTGCTAGGAAGGCTCTCAGTTAAAAGATATCCTTCCTTCTAATTTAATTCTTCAGACTTTAAGAGGAAACAAACCAATGAAAATGTAATTAAAGATATCTCATCCATTTCTGATACTAAAGGAATTGAATGATAATTCAAGCCTTTCTGGGCCACATGCTGTTCAGGGGTCTCAAGCGAAGTGCATTCCTCTGTTAACCAGAGGAACTAAATTGGATGACTCTTCCATATAAAGAGATTTACTTGGAATTTGGCTGTACGCCTGGCTGTATTTTTACCTTTCACTCCAGTTTAATTTTTTACCAGACTTCAATGAGTTAGGCTCAGTCCTAGATCCCTTTTCTAAGGAAAGGAAGGTTTGGTAGGTTTGCATTACTGGTGCAACTTTTTTTTTTCCCCCCAGTCGTACCTACTAGGTTAAGCAGCTGTTAAGAAACACAGGATTTCTGAATTACTATAGGACTTCAACAAGAACACAGTTCCTTTCTCCAGGAAACTTATATTAGACGTAGTAGCCACAATGGAAGTGTAAAAGTGGTTTTCTTCCTCTGCCTCGCACTTTCATGCTCCAAGTTGGTTATATTTTATTTCCCTCCCTCCTCTGTCCTACTGCTTATGTTCATGTCCAAACTATGCGTGTTAAAACCTAACAAGACTGAATGAAATCAGGCTCAGGTTGATACAGCCCTTTTCCCGCCATTACTGTCTGCATCTTATGTTCTTAAGCTAATGAAGTAGCGTGTTGAGAGTACTGACAGGGCTGTTTTACATCTCCTCCAGACTCCCACTAGACCATGCTCAGGACCTTATGCCAAGTCTCAACCTAGAACAGGGTGAGATGGCTGTATTTTACACCTGGCAGGTATGAAGAACCCATCATTCATAAATCATACCGGAGTTCAAGCAACACTCCACATAATGTTCATTGCTGACTGCTGTAGATAGGGAAGAAACTTCTCACATAGAGAAGTGTCTGAGATGTTAATTTATTTCCCCTTTTTTCTACGGATTAAAATTCAAGATTCTCCTGTGAGTCACCTTTTGTCCCATGTTTCTTAGAGACCTGGAGAAGAGGTGTGCTGAGGAATACAAAGGCTTCCTCCCCACAGGATAGCTTAGCCTTATCTACCCTCCATTGCCACGCTGGGATGCACATTCCCTCACCTCTGCCTTGTGATGAGATTGATGTAGTGCCTCAGTGCCGAGTAGTATCTGGCCATGTCCTCTGCTGGTGCATCCTCTCCAGGATTGTCCGGTTTGGATGGATAAGCCTCTGCCAGCGTCCCCAAGCAGATCAGCAAGGACAGGGCAAAAGTCAGCACGGACAGCCACAACCTCATGGTTCCCTGCATCTGCACAACACCGGGGGGGGGTTGGGGAAAAGGGGCGGAAAAGAGCATTAAACTGTATGCCTGTGGGCAAAACTTTGTGAAAGGAGATAGAAGTAGGCAGGCGCCAACCTGCTTTTCTCCTCAGAAGAACCCCAGGCCAAGCGCTCAGCGCTCACGCCTGCCCGGCGCAGCCAGGAACTGTCCTGCAGCCTGCTCCACATGCAGGAAGGCTTGGCGGGCAGCCGAGAAACTTTGAGCGCCTTCTCTCCACCCCGCACCTTGCTGAGGGGGCAGCGCACAGCCTCGCTCACCTTACTAGTCGCTACCAAGTACTTCACTACACACTTGGATTTGGGGGCCGGGGGGGAGCGGCAAACTAACCGACCCAGGAGGGTGCAGGCATGAACCCCAGCGCGCCGGCTGCAGGCGGCGCGTGCGGCAGGCACCAGCTTGCTGCGAACTAGGAGCTCCGCGGGGCAGGGGCAGCGGCGGGCGCGGGGAAGAGCCGGGCTTGGGCGAGGCGCGCGGGCTCACCCCGGGGCAGG